CTCTGGTGTCCCCTGCCCCTCCCCCAGGCTGTGGGGCGGCGCCGCGGGGCCGGAAGGGGAAGAAGGCCCAGAAGGTTCCGGAAGGTCCGGAGTGGCTGCGGCGCCACGAGCCCGAGGGGCTCCTGCCGGACGAGAGCTTCCGGAAACATCTGCGGCACCACAGCGCCAGGTGAGGGGGATTTGGGGGGAAATCCCGGGGTTTTGGGGGTTTTGGGGGAAAATCCGGGGGTTTTGGGGGTTTTGGGGTGAATTCCGGGGGTTTTGGGAAAATCCGGGGGTTTTGGGGTGAATTCCGGGGGTTTTGGGAAAATTCAGGATTTGGGGTGAATTCCAGGGATTTTGGGGGTTTTGGGGTGAATTCCGGGGGTTTTGGGGTTTTTGGGGGTAATTTTGTGGGTTTTGGCTCAGTTTTGCCGGTTTTGGGGTGAATTTTGGGGTTTTGGGGTGAATTCCCCGGTTTTTGGGTGAATTTCCCGGTTTTTGGGTGAATTTCCCGGTTTTTGGGGTGAATTTCCCGGTTTTTGGGGTGAATTCCCCGGTTTTTGGGGTGAATTCAGTGTTTTTTGGGGTGAATTTCCCAGTTTTGGGGTGAATTTCCCGGTTTTTGGGTGAATTCCCCGGTTTTTGGGGTGAATTTCCCAGTTTTGGGGTGAATTTCCCGGTTTTTGGGTGAATTCCCCGGTTTTGGGGTGAATTTTGCTGTTTTTGGGGTGAATTCCGTGTTTTTTTGGGGTGAATTCCCCAGTTTTGGGGTGAATTTCCCGGTTTTGGGGTGAATTTCCCGGTTTTTGGGGTGAATTCCCCGGTTTTTGGGTGAATTCCATGGTTTTTGGGGTGAATTCCGTGTTTTTTGGGTGAATATCCCGGTTTTGGGTGAATTTCCCGGTTTTTTGGGTGAATATCCCGGTTTTGGGGTGAATTTCCCGGTTTTGGGGTGAATTTCCCGGTTTTTGGGGTGAATTCCCCGGTTTTTGGGTGAATTTCCCGGTTTTTGGGGTGAATTCCGTGTTTTTTGGGTGAATTTTGCTGTTTTTTGGGTGAATTTCCCGGTTTTTGGGGTGAATTTCCCGGTTTTTGGGTGAATTTCCCGGTTTTTGGGGTGAATTCCCCGGTTTTGGGGTGAGTTTTGCTGTTTTTGGGGTGAATTCCCCGGTTTTGGGGTGAATTTCCCGGTTTTTGGGGTGAATTCCCCGGTTTTTGGGCTGAATTCCGTGTTTTTTGGGGTGAATTTCCCAGTTTTGGGGTGAATTTCCCGGTTTTGGGGTGAATTTCCCAGTTTTGGGGTGAATTCCCCGGGTTTCGGCCCTGCAGGATCCTGCTGCGGGTGAGGACGCTGCACTTCCTGCGCCACGAGGTGATCGGGGACGAGGCCGAGAAGGTTCTGGCCGGGGCCAGCGCCAGGTCAGCCCCAAATCCGGGGATTTTGGGGCACTTTGGGGCATTTCGGGCATTTCGGGGCTCCAGAGGAGCTTTGGGGGGTCCTGACCCTTTTTTGGGGTGGTCTGGGGGGGACTTTTGGGGCTTTTGGGGGGAAAATTTGGGGGATTTTGGGGTCTCCAGACCCTTTTTGGGGGGGATTTTTGGATTTTTGGGGGGTCTCAGGGTCTCCAGACCCTTTTTTGGGGGGTTTGAGGGATTTTTGGGGTAAGTTTGGTGTCCCTGACCCCATTTTTGGGGTTTCTGATCCCATTTTGGGGTTTCTGATCCCATTTTGGGTGTCCCCAATCCCATTTCGGGGTCCCTGACCCCGATTTTGGGGTCC